TCACCTTTTATTCGTACCAGATATCAAAGGATTCAATCCCAACCTTAACTGGTATATCATGAGAAAAAAAAATCACAAGAGAATTCTTAAAGAATCTTCTATTTCTTTAATATGCCAATGTGAATTCTCAATCAATTTTCACATCATAATTGAACCAGGATGGTCAACCGGTCATGCCAACTAATATTTGTTTCAATAAACCTCTAGTTTACTTATGGCATGTGATTCCATCACGATGCTTATACATCTGTAGTACAAATAGAAGAAAAGTCGGGTAACCTTTCATATTTACCCAGTATGTTATAGTAATATGAAGATAATCAATCTTCCTTTCATTTATAGTCTCAATATGCCAACCACTTTGTCTAATACATTTGAAACTCAAAAAGTATCTTTTGAGACTTACTACAATTTTATTCATCCGGGTAATAACAAATTAGCTCTTCTGGAGCTCTTAATTGATTTTGTACTACAAGATCTTTTGTCACACCATCCATATGGTGAATGTCTCCTTCATGGAGAAAATCATATAATAATAATTGTCATGGTCAAAATCATCATAAGCAAAATAATTTCTTGCTTTACTTTTGCCTTTAATAACTTTTTATAAGACATGTCAAATTATTTTTGGCGTACCACATGTACGCGACCAATAACATATTCATGTAATCACACAGTAATATTTATTATCTCTCTTTCTCTCAAACCTCCCTTAGAGGTGAGTTGTGGTGTGTATCCAATCATGCATTGCACGTCTTTATTCATTACTTTTATCACATATTCGTACATTCACCTTCAGGAATGAATCTGCATTCTCAATGCACAAGTCACATTCTCTTCAAAGAATGGAGTATAATTATCGCGACGTGCTTTATAAATTTTTCATACCAATTTGATGGTAAATATTTCCTTCACATATTGAAGGATTACTTCGAGAACCCTTATTGTTCTCATTTTTTACAATTACCATAATGATGACTATTATTATTTGATCAATGGCACGCCCATGTTCATTGGTCAACCACTTGTCTTCATTTACTTATTATGCATTGCTACCACATTCACTTTAAGAATGGTGCAAATCAAGTGGGACAAGATTCATGCTTTTCCATGAAAAATATATTATTTTTCTTTAGTCATCATTATGTCATCCATATGGTGCATTGGAACTCAAACCCAATGCCTGACCCATATAAAGACATGTTAGGCCATAATGAGTTGGGACTCGAACCCAACTTTTACAATCATGGATCATCAAGACTCAAAACCCGATGTCTTACCCTCATGGTGCGTTGGGACTTGAACCCACCGTCTTATCCTTATATAATGTTTCACAAATTGTATGATTCACATCAGGGAATGGAATATAATTTTATGTAGCCACATAGTAAAATCTATCATAAAAATAAGCAAAATAGAAATGATAAGAACTATTATCAATAAAAATATGATAGAGTACAAACTCGTGTGCTAGTATTCTACATATAAATTTGTCAATAAGAAAATCACCATGTAGCGTTATTACTATGTGATGTATTACTGCATACTAATGCATGATTAAATAAAATGCACACAAGAATTGAAACACATAACTAAATATACTTAACTTAAAAAAACAAATAATCTTAAGTAATAACTATTGCTAGCATATTCTATTTTAATACAGATGATGTCAAAATAGGCTAGTAAAACATAATGATATCACTTTGTCAATTATCAGCATAAAAATGTTGCACCTAATTAGATTAGGCCATCGATCTTAAAAGTCCTCGTTAATACACAACATGACCAGAATGCTTTTTAATGTTTCACAAAGATTTTAATATCATGAAAAATCAATGATAGCATGATGTTATAATTGTATAAGATCAATTTTAGAACTAGGAACAAAGTTAGTGGACATATACAGCCATACGAGCATGAAAACTTAAAATCAAAACTTAATTTTTTCTAAACAAAGCAACTACAAATCTTAAATTTTAAGATAAGCTAAATACACAATTTATGGTATAATTTAAAAAATAATACTCCCTGGATAATAGAGGCAAACTAAACATTATATGGCATTCGTAACAATGCACATATTTCCATTGGTTCAACCAAATTGGTTGAACATATCTTCTAGGTTGATTAAAGCTTCGTTCTGATAACGTATTACGAAACTTAGCTCAAAGTAATACATAAAACAAGAAGATAGACAACAATGTAGAGAGAAGAGAATCTTTTTCTTCCATGTATTCAAGTGTGTACAATGTGATGCCCAAACCCTCTATTTATAGGATGATATAGGTAATACAAAGGGACTCCATAAACATGGTATTAACTATTGAGAACATGGGGGAAGATCATGGGGAGGTTATGGAGGTGTGGGAGTTATAACTATAATGGTGAGAAGTAGTAGGAGTTATCTACATAATGGAGAAGAGTATTGGGAGTAACTTTTTTAGGAGTTATAGACATCCACTACAAAATAATATTTCATAACAAATTCCACATTTTAAGGAGACTTACTTTTAGATATTATTAAATGACCTAATAGTATAAAAATACTTAAACTAATAGCATAGATAACTTAAACTCTATAGATCAACCACTACATAATCAGTACATANTACTTAGTATTGGAAACTTTCCCGACAAATAAAGAACCTTTGAGAAAACTAACAAGAAAATGAATTAATTAAAAAAAAATTAGAAAACGTATCTTAGCATTATATGCCTTTTCACGATGTACTAGTCTCCTCAACCTTGTTATTTCTTTTATTATATTTCATACCATTATTTGAAATTGCTAAATGGAATTGAAAAACTCATCTCTTCCAGAGGAATATCAGGCACAGCAGACATATGCTTTTTCTGATGTAAGACAATTTTGTAGATGTAGTAACTCAATTGGATAGAGACTCGTGCTGATAACGTGTTACAAAACTTAGCTCAAAGTAATAATATAAAACAAGAAAATAGACAAGAATGTAAGGAGCAAGATAGAAGAGATTCTTATTTCTTCCATGTATTCAAGTGTATTACAAAATGAGTTCTCATCCTCTATTTATAGTACAACACAGAGGTATACCAAAAGAATTCCCTACGTATGCCATTAAGCATTTGAGATCATGGAAGAAAGATCATGGGTAGGTTATGAAGGTGAGGGAGTTACAACAATAATGGTGAGAAGTAGTGGGGTTATCTACATAATGGAGAAAAGTAGTGGGAGTTATATTTGATTAGTGGACATCCATAAAAATATGTATTTCATAACAATATAAATGATTTTGGGACAATGTTTTCTGGTTACTTACCAAAACCAAGAAAAGTAATTCTCGTGAACACATTTATGCGAAAAATATTTTGCTTCCTACCAAACACACCCTAAATCATAAATCAAATAACATCTGCTTCTACTTCCAATGGTAAATCATTTCTTTAATATCATACTCTTGCTTTTTTAAAAAAAATTATGTAGCATTTCACCATTTGATAATGTCTTATTGAATTTCAGCCAAAAAAAATATTGGATTTCACACGCTGATGAGAAAAGGAGAACAGAAAAATACTTCGGTTTGGAACCGATTAATTAAGATGCCTGCTTCGAAATCTAAAGTAACTAAAGTTGAATTCTCAAGCAAAACTCGAATAGAATTTTTGCTTAATAAAGTGCTCTTTAGTTTTACTACTAAGATGGATAATAACATGACATTCAAAAACGCAGATCAGTGTGTCTGCATAATTAGTTATTCAAAAACGTTCAGTTTTATTAAACTCTGCATAAACTATATGCATCAAAAAAAATTGTTGAGATGTGTGACAGCCTAAATTATTTAAAAGCGTAAGATGTGTTATAGAGAAAATACACATTTATTTACTTAATTATATTTTTAACATGTACCTTCTTCACGTGAAAATAATGTGGGATGGTGAGGACATTAAACCATGATCACTTTTATCTGCTCTTGTACCATATTGAAGTGTGATCATCTCATCGACAAACTTAAGTAGTTAAAAAAAAATGCTAATCGAGCTCATTTACTTAGAACGGTTACATGTTTCTTGCTCAATTAAAATAATTGAGTTGAACGTAGATACTAAGCAAAACTGAACTCGTGACATTTTAGTGTCTCTTACACCTACCAGTGGCGGAGCCAAAATTTTCACTAAGGGAGTTATCATATAAAGAAGAAAACTCACGAAGAAGCCAAAATGAGTCAATATATAGTATATATACGTAAAGATAAAATCTTTTACTTAGCTACATAATGTGATTTTTCGGTAAAGAGGTGTCAATTGATACCCCTTAAATACATATGGCTCCGTCGCTACTTATAACGTATTATTATTATATTTTAGCAATCATTGGGAAGGGCAATGTTACTTCAGAAGCAAAAAAGAAAAAAAAGAAAAAAAAAAAAAAAGAGTTCATAGTATGTCTTGTTTATCGAGCTATAAAAATTCAGTAACTTGCTTAACGTCTAGTTTAGAAAGAGGACATATTTTCTGCTAGGAATTTTTTTTATTTCTTGAGCTCAAACTCGAAACCTCTAATTAAATACAAAAAGGATTAACAAATATTACCACCAATATTCTATCGCAGGGTAAAGAAAGCCTTAGGGCTTGTATGGTACGAGGGATAAGGGATAATTAATCCTGAAACTAAATTTAAGATGAATTAATTTCACGTATGGCTCGGATAAAATCGTGGTATAACTAATCTCGGGACTAGTTATCCCGGGATAATAATGTTATTTTTATCTGTATGAAAGTATAGGATAACGATCCCCAAATAACTAATCTCGGGATAATTAATCTTGAAATAATTTGTTTCCCGACCCCTTAGATCTTTGCTTGTTTCGTGGTGTTGAACAAAGCAAAGGTTCTGCTGCTATCGACATGTGTCTGTGTATGCGAGAGAAAAAGGGAAAATATGAAGAATAAGATTTAAAATAGGAGGAAACCTAACAAAAATAACTATCAGAATACAAGTATATATAATGCATCCCTTTAACATTGTAACCTACAGAAAGAAATAACGAAAGTCCAAAAAAAAAGAGATAAAAGAAATTTTAAAAAAAAGAAAGAAAAAATGGGAAAATCAATTGTTATTTTCATTTGCTTGTTCTACTTGCTAGGGCTTACTCAAGCTTCTGATGAAAAACCTGATTTCTTTGTAGAAGGAAGGATTTATTGTGATCCTTGTCGTTCACTTTTCAAAAACAACCTTATGAAGCCCATAGAAGGTATTATTTAAATTTTTCTTTTGCTCCATTTTTTGCATTTTATATTTTTTCCAATTATTCAAAATTCAACAAAGAAAAAAGAAAAAATGTATACATTATAAAGAAAGAAATAAATAAAAGTATGTTCTATTGTTTGTTTATCGTGGAATTAGTTTCTAAATTTCAGTTATGTCATGTTTCAGTATTTTTATTGTTTCAATTGGTGGCGTGTTCATTAAATTAAATGAGACAAATAATAAGAGACAAAGAAAAGTTTAGACAAATAATCTAATTATTAAAGCTATTAAAATATCTTTGTTATGAGATGTACGGGAAGTTTAAAAGACGAATTATATGGATCAAGCGAAATATTTTTGAGAATCTTATGTAAATGTCCAAAATAAGCTCAAGCTTACTAACCTCTAGTCATTAATTACATACATACCAAAACTAGCAAAACGCATATAAAAATTAAGAACTTAAATAAATAAGGATTTTTTTTTTCCAAGAATAACACGCAAAAATCTTCTGCCATATTTTTAAGCTTGATCTGCAACATTAGATGCAAGATGGAAAGAAAATTTCATGGATAACTTAAGTGATGAAACACAGAAAAAAATACAAGATTCAAAAAAACTAAATAAAAAATAATCTTTTTCAATGGGTAAGGTTGAAATTCATTGAAAATATCTAGATAAGTCAATATGCACGATTTGAGAAATATTGGAGATTGTTTGGACTGATTTGGTATCAAAATTCATAGTTAAAATCAAGCTTAAAACATTCTTCTGCCACACATGTATCAAACATGTATCACGCATGCATCTCACACACAAGTATATATGAATATACATATAATATATATTTGATACATATGTGATATACAAATGATACATAGTGTGATACACATATCATTTGTTTATGTACATCTTCTGCTTCGAATTTTCAGTTTAAACAACTTCAAAATTTCACCAAATCATCCCAAAATTGAGATTCAAACTCCTTAAGATATACCCAATCTATTCCAACAACACCCACTAAAAAGAAAGCAAAAATTTGATTTTTTTTTGCTACAAACAGCTAATTGGCTAATATTGATAACATTTGGCTAATATTGGTAATATTTTATAAATTGACTAATTTTTGTACTAATTTACTTAGGGATGACATAATTGATAGTTTATCTTCGGTGCGTAATTTTCCATATGTGTTCATTGTTCCACGGGAGAAATTCAAAAATAGCCAGATTTACAAGTGGTTTCCAAAAATAGCCACAGTTTCAAGAGTCATCGAAATTTAGCCACTTTTTCTGTAAAGATAAATCTGAACGAAAACACTACTCAAAATCCGAAAAATACTCTAGCATAATATACTGGAATTCCAGTATAATTATACTGGAAGTTCCAGTATAATATACTGGGACTCCAGTATAATATACTGGAGTTCCAGTATACTTTGCTGGAACTCCAATATATTATACTGGAGGCAGCAAAGTATATCGGTCCAGCATAATATGCTGGAAGTTCATATACAGGTGCACCGAACTCCAGTATATTATGATGGACCGGTATCTGTTGCAGCAAAATAGTGGCTATTTTTCAATGACTTGTCAAACACTAGCTATTTTTGAATGAACAGTTCGAAAACTAGCTAGTCCGTACTATTTTTACTTGTTCCACTAGTCGATATGTATTGGATATTATTTTGTAGAACCAATTACAAAAGTTAGTCTATTCCTTAGACAGTTTCAACTTATACACCTTTTAGTCCTTCATGCATCAACACAACACTAAGAGCCCGTTTGGACATAATTCTTTTTTTTTTCGAAATCAGTGTTTGACCATAAGATTTTCAATTTTCATTTGAAAATGAATTTTGAAATTTTTCGAAAATTTAAAAAACTCAAGAAAGCTGCTTTTCAAAATTTTCACTCAGATCACTTACAAAACTTCAAAAACAACCCAAAATTATATTCATATCCAAACACAAACTCTAGTTTTCAAATATCATTTTCACTTGAAAAAAAATTTCACCTTTTTCTGGAATTTTATAGTTCTTATGTTCAAACGCCCGCTAAATATAACTTAGTGAGGCTATTGTTGATAGTTTTCGTTGAGGTGAATTATAACAACTCCATGCACTATGACTTAATTAACTTGGTTCACTTTGTTAAATTATGCTGACACCGCTTATAAAAAATTACAGGTGCCGTTGTATTTATTAAATGTAAGAACCCCAAAACTAATAATATCACACTCCTGAAGCTCGGTACGACGAACGCCACCGGATTTTACCGCGTGCCGGTAGAAGGAGATTACAAGAATGAAAACTGCAGGGTTGAATTGACAGAGGGTAATAGGGAAGATTGTAAAGAGAATCCATGTGGTGAAGAGTATTTTGTAGCTGGAGTTTCTCTCACTCACAATAATAATGATACTAATGGAAATGGAAATGTACGTAAAGTCAATGATTTATTTTTCTACCCCAAGAAACCATCACTTCAAGAGTGTATACGAGAATTCAAGAATATGAAACATATACCACAAGTTCAAGATGTTGAGTGTCTATCTTTGCTTGACTTTTAATTTTTGGACTAGTTGTTGAATGAATACAATGTAAGCCCTAAAAAGAAAAAAATAATTAAAATAAAATGGACCCTTATTTTGGGGATAGGGTTTATTAAGCTCTTAAATATGCTTCTGAGCAATTTTTTTGTATGTAATGTGCTCTCTCAGAAAGAAAATAAATGAATAAATAAAGCACCTCATTTTGGTTGACTTACTTGTATAATCTTTATGCTTCTTTAATTCTATAATTTTTTAGAGTTGAATTCTCAAGCAAAACTCGAATAGAATTTTTGCTAAAAAAGTGTTCTTTACAACTAAGTAGGGGTGGCAAAATGGTTCAAAGAAAACGGTTAACCACCCATATTATCCACTAAAAATGGGTTGGATAATGAACTTTTTAAAAACGGGTCAAATATATAAGAACCATATTATTCATTTAGAAAATGGATAACCAATGGGTATAACTTTTACATTTGTAAAGCCTCAGATTGGGGGTTCCTCAAGTTAGAGAGACTAAGAATTCTCCCAAAAGTGATCATATACAAGAAGCCATGGATAATATGGGTAACCCATATTAGCCGTCGGTTAACCCATTTTTTATCCGTATTAATGGATCGGATCGGATAATGATCCGTATTTTCATTACCCTTTTTCAACCCGAACCATATCCGACCCGACCCGCCGGTTTGCCACTCCTACAACTAAGATCGATAATAACATGACATTCAAAAGAAACGTTCAGTTTATTAAGAACGCCGCATAAAATATATGCATCAAAATTATGTTGAAGTGTGTAACAAACTTAAATATCTTAAAATGTAAGATGTCACTACTAAAAAAAGTAAGAATTAATAACGTACAAATTTTGTAGTTAAATAGAAAAATTTGTCGCTTATCCTGTATAGCGGCGGATTAGTGATAAATTATCAAGAAATTCGGTTAGCGACAAACTATTTAGCAACAGATTAGCGATGAAATTAGCAGCTAATTCTATTTTTTGGTACTGTGTGTTATAGAAAAAATATACTTTAGTTTACTTTATTATGTTTTTAACATGATCCTTTACATTAAAAAAAATAATGGGTGAATGGTGATCCCTTCACGTGAAAATAATGTGGAATGGTGACACCTTAAACCAAGAATACTTTTATCTGCTCTAATATCATGTTGAACTATGATCGTCTCATCGATAAGCTTAAGCAATTAGAGAAACTACGCTAATCAAGTTCATTTACATGTAACTTTTTCTTGCTTGATTAAACTAATTGAGTTAAACGTAGATATTATTAAGATAGTGTTCGAGGGCTATGAAATCATTTAAGCAAATCTGGACTCATGACATTGTAGTATCTCTTATATTAGTGACCAAAATTTATAATAAAGGGATCAAAATATAAAGAAGTAAACTCAGGAAGAAGTCAAGGGAGATTAATATATAGTATATATACGTAAAAAAAAAATCTTTTACCTAGCTACACGTAAAGATATGTGAATTGATACCCCTTGAGAACATGTGTCTTTGCTTCTGCTTACAACGTACTATTATATTTAAGCAATCACTGGGAAGGACAATATGGTGCCTTCAAAAACATTATAGTTATAGCTGATGCAGATAGGTTGGAGTTTGAACTTCAACGACCATTGCGTTCTCATCAGGTAGTTCGTCAGTTAGCTCCCAGTCATCAGGTATCGGATGATCTGCCAAGAAGTCTACCAATGCTTTTCCTTTTACAACCTTTTGAAGGATGTACAAAATCTCGAATTGTTGAAATTGGAGGTACCATCTCGCTAGTCGATCACTAAGAACAAGTTTTGACATCACGAACTTGATGGGATTTGCTTTAGAAACAAGATGGACAACATGAGCTTGAAAGTAGTGCTTCAACTTTTGAATTGAGAAGACTAACGCCAAACACAACTTTTCAATTGACGAATAATTCAGCTCATTTGGTGCCATCATCCTGCTCAAGTAGTAAAGAGAGTTTTCTTTCCCCTCACTATTTTCTTGGGCCATCAGTGCTCCAACAGACCTTTCTTGTGCCGCAATGTATAGTATCAATGGCTTTCCAGGTATAGGAGCTGCTAAAACTGAAGGCTTTATCAAGTAGGTTTTGATACTTTCAAAGGCATTGCTACAAGCTTCGCCCCACTTGAAAGGAATGCCTTTCTACATAAGGCGACTAAATGGTTGGCACCTCCCAGCTAGATTCGAGATGAATCTTCTACGGTATTCTAGCTTTCCTTGAAGACTTTTCAATTCATGAATGTTCCGAGGCTCAGGCATTTTCAAAATGGCATCCACTTTGGCTTGATCAATTTCGATCCCTCGATGTTGGACAATGAAACCAAGGAACTTTCCAGAAGTAACTCCAAATGCACATTTCAATAGATTCATCCTAAGTTGGTACCTCCAGAGCAACTGAAATACCATTCTCAAGTCTTTCAAGTGGTCGCCTTTCTCTCTTGATTTTACCACCAAGTCGTCAATATAACATTCGACATTCTTGTGGAGAAGATCGTCAAAAATATTCTACATAGCCCTTTGGTAAGTAGCACCAACATTCTTCAAGCCAAAAGGCATTACCTTGTAGCAATAAAAACCCTTGAGGGTGCGGAATGCAGTTAGTCTTCATCTTTTGGTGCCATGCAAATTTTGTTATAGCCCGACGAACCGTCCATGAAAGACATTACCTCTTAACCAGTAGTAGCATCGATCATCAGCTCTGGAGTAGGAAGCGGGACATCATCTTTGGGACACGCATTGTTGAGATCCATGAAGTCAACGCATACTCGAATCTGGCCATTCTTCTTCCTTACAGGGACAATACTTGAAACCCATGTTGGGTGTTTAACTTCCCGAATAAACCCAGCTTTAATGAGTTTGTTAACTTTGGTTTCAATCAGGGGAACCAAGTCCGGCCTAAAATGCCTTTGAGCTTGCTTAACAGGACGAGCGCCATTCTTGACTGCAAGGTGACGGACTGCTACTTTAGGGTCCAAGCCAGGAATTTCTTTGTAACTCCAAGAAAAGACATCCCTAAACTCCTTGAGTAACTCAATATAAGTGCTTTCTTCATCAACTTCTAGTAAAGCACTTAGGTAGGTGTGTCTCAGTTCTTCATCAGTGCCAAGGTTAACTTCTTTTAAGGCATCAATCGTTGCCTTCACCCCTTCTTCAAGTTCCGGCGGAGCATCTTTCACATATTCATCTTCTTGACGGTTCCCGTCGTTGAAGGATATGTGATAACATGGTGAAATATCGTCCGATTTCTCGTCATCCTCTATTAGAGATGAAACATCGTGCTCGCCTTGTGCAGTAACATGATATGAAAAACCCACACTTTCTTCGTCTTCATCACGTTCTTTAGTGTAGACCACAGTGTATGGCTTTACCTTTAGAACCTCATCACACGAAACCATGACTTTTGTTTGTCGCCTCATTCTAGAAGGAACTAGACTTTGGAAATCCTTAGAGATCTTCCGAATTTTAGGCGAAGCAGGTGTCCTTGTATTTCGATAATTTCTCTGGAACTTATCCCCTTTCTTTAACGGACCCAATCTCTCAAACACGGAACTCCTCGTAGTTGATTCTCCAAATCGATCAAAGACAGAAGGCTTGTTAGAAGCCGCAGATTCATCTTCTACAGTGATATGATTGCTTCTCTCTCTTCTTATGGAGATGCGCACTGGTGATGGTTGCGTGTATTCCAAACCTTTATGTGGTTGCCTCGTTGCAGCTTCTGATGGGAGCTTTCCTAACTTTGATGGCTCATCGGGATTGTATCCAGCTTTTGCAAATAGCCTGTAAGCGTTAGGATCAAAACCTTCATCTGTTCGCTTTGTAGGGAGTACCACATTCTGCAAACGATTTTGGGCCACAAACCCTGCAAGTGGCTTTGAGGACAACTTTATTGCCTCAATTCATTTTATCGGAAGCGTTAACTCCTTTAGCATGTTAGTTTGGAGGTTAGATGATTCACCTTCATCTTTCTTCCATTTAGGGACATATTGGAGCGTATGACTTACTTTATTGTCATAAGACGCAATATTCCCTCAACAAGATTTATTCATGTTGGGTTGTACCTCCTCAGTAACAGCTTTGGCTCTACCAGCAGTTACCTCAGCTCTTTTAGTTGTGGGCTCGTCATTCTTGCTTTTCATAACATTAGCAGCTTTCAGCTCCTTCACAATGCGGTTCTTCAAGTAGAACTTTGCATCGGTGAAGTGTGACTCAGCCTCGGTGAATGGCTCTTCATCAGCAACTATCTTCTTCTCGACATCACCCTCGAAGTGTTTTAGACATTGATGGTAGGTAGATGGACCTACTTTATTCTCATGTATCCAAGGCCTCCAGAGCAAGACGTTGTATGAAGTCTTTGCATCGATCACATGCAGTCATGCACTTGGTTGTATATCTTCAATGGCGATTCCCAACCTGATCGCACCTACGGCTCTTTGTCCCCCTTGGTTGAATCCTTGAATCATCACACGACTTTCTGAGAGTTCGTTCATGGGAATACCAAGTTCTTTCACAGTGCGAATTGGCAAGATGTTTACTGAGGATCCTCCATCAACCAAAATTCAATTTACCCTTTCGTCGCACATATAGCCAACCAGGTATAATGGGCGGTTATGAGGAGTGTCACTACGTAGAAGATCGTCATTCGTGAACGTAACTTTTTCCTCACAAGCATTAACTTCTTGAGGAATGGACTCGACGAGCTTTTCTGAAGATGGTGTCAATGGTAGGTCATCACTCTTTTCTTCCTCTTCGTCAGCATGGCAACAAGAGGCATCAATGCCCTCCTGGGAAATCTTTGTGTGGAACCAACTTGGTAAGAACTCATCCAAGGTCACTGGATGTCGTGGCTTTTGCGGATGGTGCACCTCCACTTTTGCTTTCTTCAAATGCTTAACTGGATTCCATCTCTTTAGTCTTTTCACCATCATTTTCCTTGTTGGTTGTTCTATTGATTCTTTTCGTGGGCTCCTTTTGTGGTGCCTACGGCGAGTCACCAATGTCCAACCTTCATCATCATCATGGTGGTCTACTTTGACTTTGTTATTCTCCAGTAATTCTTCATCATGGATTTCTTTTGAACTGCATAGCTCATCTAGACTGATGAGCCAAAGGTGATAGAGACTTGGTTCACACTTGCCTTCTCTTCTTCAAGCACGATCTTCTTTTCAAGGGCCAAGTCCATAACTTT